TCCAACACAATGAGAACATCAACAATAACTGAGAGTATGGCTACTTGTAACAAAGAGTAAGGTCTTCTAAATAAGTTATGTGGATTAGTATTTTTTAATAAGAGTACAAAATGTAAGACTTTTTTTTTTAATACCCGGTACTTAAGTGCACTTACAGCAAATGACATTTAAGTTTTTAGGTGGCAACACTAGGATACTTTAATTATATTAATGATGTTGCCTATAGTCCACTTAAGCCACAACTGGTCCAAAAGACTGCTGTTTCAGAGTAATGTTAGCTTACTAGAAATCATCTACACCATGGCATAAGCTGTATATTAAAATAATAACATTCACAAAATTGTTACGGTACAGATCCAGAAATGCAAAGTCAAATTATTTTGAGTATAACTTTTTTTTTTAATTGACTTGTTGAAGGTTTTGTGAAAGACTACAAAGAAACAATTCAGTTACTAGGTATAACAAAGTATCCAAGCATAAAATAGTTAGACAGTATAACACAGCTACAAAATTATAGTTAATTCTTTATACCCTGACCTTAGTAAAAAAAAACAACAACTGAATAATGATAATATTTCACTGACTTCGATAATTTAATGCAAGAAGTTTTTAATAATTTACTTTACATAAATTCTGTAAATTTGTTGGCAAGTAAACAAACTAATCTGAATTTTCTACAGATACTTTGGACATGAAAATTAATTTTTGCAGCTCATTGGAAACCCATTAGCATTATTTACCATTATTTATTATTAATGTTTATTTTTTTTTTTTACTATATGTCTCACATTGGTTTTTTTTTAATTATTACCGTATTAAGAAACAAATATAAATATTACTCGAAAAAGATTTTTTTAAATAATAAAAGAAAGACATAAACAGATTATTCACATTGAATACAACAATAAAAACAAACCAGCACATAAATATAAACAATAATTCCTCCCCACCATGAAAATTGTGAAAAATATATATATATATATATTTTTTTTTTTACAAACTTTGCCATTTAAATATTAAGGTCTGAATCCAAAAGAAGATTTTAAGAAGCAAGCAGAATGGTGGTCAAATGCTGCAGTTATTAAAGGGGCTTCACTGTATTTCCAACCTATGCCATATTCATCCAACACTTTTTTTTAAAATCGTAAGTTCACATGAGTCATTCATCAAACTCTTAATACTTTTACTGACTTTACTTCCTCCCAAGTTTGAACAAAAGCCTTAGACTCATTGTTGGTTCATATTCTGCTAGTTGGTTCATAAGCAAACCATTTGGTTTAAAGGCAATCATTTGGTTGATAAGCAACCATTTTGGTTTATGAGCCATCATTTGGTTAAAGTTAAAGGCGACCATTTCGTTCATAAGCAACCCTTTGGTTCATTTCTAAAAGTTGTATTGTGTTAGTGTTATTGCCTTCACTGTCACCAAATCAATTCTGTTCTGCTGCTTGGTCCACTGAGAGTTTAACAGTGAAAAAGAAAAACTATCCACGTTTGCATTATGACATTGTGAGCAGGAATGCCAAATAACCTTTTGGTTCATGGCAACTCTTGAAAGAGTTGTCAGATTATGCATCGTATTTAAAGTCAATATTATAGCCAAGATCACACTGGGAAAAGTTAAATGCCAGCGGAGTATGCAGTATCCGGATACAAAAAAAATCCAAATTAATTGATTACAGGCTCAGTTGTACAGCAGGAATCATTTTAATAAATGAAATGGCAGTCTCCGAATAAACTTGTATTTTATTTGTTAGGGTCTATTAATTACAATAGTAAAGAACCCATGAGAATGAAAACAAGACAAAAGAAATTTAAAATTTCATTTCACTGCAACTATCCCTTAAGCCCTGTGATTTCCTTTGCCCTTAAAATGCTGTCAAAGTTTATAAAAAAAACAAAAACTCTACGTACCCGCCACCCATCCATGTCATCCCATCGTCTTTCCGGTGTAAGCTAAATGTAAATTATGAGAACAAGAGTGAAGCCAAGCAAACAAACAAAAATAGGTAGCAGAGGTATCCAAAAACCAGGTAAAAAGTAACCTTAGTGGAGGTAACACAAACCAGGTACTGTAGCAGTAACTTAACTTGAGGTAGCTCACACAAAGACGTTACCTCACTGGAGGTAAGCCACGCCAAGAAACAATCTTATTGGCGGTAACCCAATACAGCTTGCAGATTTAACCCAAACTATGTTAAAGTGACCTTCATGGAGGCAGCTCTTACAGTAACCTACTGGAGGTAACAGTAAACTTATGGGGTAAAAAATAATTAAACTTCATGAATTATGGACATCAGCTTGAGAACCACTGCATCTAATATTGGATATGCAGTGAGCCCCAATATTTAGATTAATTACCATAGAATTTGCCAATATCTAGTGTTCAAAAATATTGTTAAGCATACTGAATAGTTTTATTATACAGCTTGAGAACCACTGCATCTAATATTGGATATGCAGTGAGCCCCAATATTTAGATTAATTACCATAGAATTTGCCAATATCTAGTGTTCAAAAATATTGTTAAGCATACTGAATAGTTTTATTATTTTTTAATTCTTATTGAAACTGTTTTTTTTTTTTAAATCCTTTCAAACTGTATTGTCTATTGTCCTGTATTTTAATTACAACGTAACAATAACTGAATGTTTAAAATAAAAGCTATATTCAATTTAAATTAACCTTTAAAAATTGAGCAGCAAATTCATCTTTTCTATTTCTACAAAACAAAAAAACAAATGTATCTTACCCTGGTTCAAAGAATCGTGTTTAATTACATTATGTTTTTGAATTACTGTAAATTTTCATGTCTGTAACCAATGTAATTTTTTTTCAATAAAAAAATATCCACATAACTTGAAAAGAAAAATGATAAATAAACGGCAAAATATTAGCTGCCTAAGCAAATTTGTGGGACAGTAGCATGAAGACAAATCTATTTAGTGCTGAGCAGAAAAACTTGGTAAAAGCACAAGGTTTAGGGTTTGGCGCAAGCTTATCACAACAAGAATGGGTTATCAACAAGACATTCAGCGGTGCTATCTCAGTCAGTAGTAGTAGTAGTAGTAGTGGTAGAAGTACATTAGATCATTCTTATAGCAATCAGGGTTTGGTAACACTAGCAAATATTTATCAAAGCACAGTTGTCTGCCCATTATGTTTACAATTACACACAGTAATAATCAGTGTCTATCTATATATATATCAACAAACACACAGACACATATAAATGTGTGTGTGTGTGCTACCCAGAGTTTGTATGTCTATCACTCATTTTAATCTCAAAGGTTCTCTGTAAAAATCAAGACGCTAATGAAAAAAATGTGTTTGTTATATTAACAAAAATGCAAATGTGTTAATTTCAAACAAGGTTTTAGCCTGGACACGTTATTATTTTTTCACGGCACTATACAGCACCTACCTCTTTACTTGNTTAATCTCAAAGGTTCTCTGTAAAAATCAAGACGCTAATGAAAAAAATGTGTTTGTTATATTAACAAAAATGCAAATGTGTTAATTTCAAACAAGGTTTTAGCCTGGACACGTTATTATTTTTTCACAGCACTATACAGCACCTACCTCTTTACTTGGACTAAACTCCAGAACCAAATTGCACAAGCAGGTCATGGCTAACACCATAATCTCATGGTTGGTCGACTGCAGCATCTGCACACACACAAAAACAAGGGCTGGTACATTTACAATGATCAGCATAAAATAAAAGCTGGTCTTGTCACAGGAATTTATTCAGTAATATAAAACATCATTAAACTTTTTCATTTTGAATATCCAGATTTAAGTCATAAAATATTAATTTATGCTTTAATCATACCAAAAAATTAACATTTTATGGGAATGTTGTCAAGCAGGTGTATTTTCTTTTTTTTTTCACACATGGGTGATACATTTTCCATTAAACAATTTTTTAAAACAGTACTCTTCAATGTGAAATGAAACCATCAAATATAAATATGGAATATGAAGATTACAAATTTAAAATTAAACTTATTGATTCTGAAAAGGATCGATGTACGGACTGTCTCAGGGTTACATGTAACAATATATTATATCACACCCTCAGCACTGGTTTCCGGTCACAATGGTCATGGAGTATTGTGACAGGGACTGAATGTGTCAAACAGATCATATGTCTTACCCCAAGCAAAGGTTTCCAGACTGCATTATCATGGAGTACCGTCCTGATCTGGTGTACAGACCGTGTCAGGGACTGTAGACATCTCAAGCTAGCTGCCACCTCAGCTTGGTTGGAGCTGAGCATGCAAGTCATGATTTGATCTATCATACCCTCTCTCTTGATAACCTGCACATGTCAGTAGCACAAAAGAAAACAATCTTAATTACCCAATAGATCCAAAATTCTCAAGTGAATTTATTAAAATCAATTTATCTTACTTTTTCCTCTAGATTAATATTGTGTTATCAAAGCCCATTTTTTTAAAAAAATCATTTGCTTTATTAAACAGCTATTTTATAAATAGTTCCAAATAGTTCAATCAGATATTTCCTTAATGTTTTTTTTTTTTAACCAAGTTAAAGACTTAAATAAATATTAATTTCATACTCTCTCTCTCTCTATATATATATTTATATGACCAAACAACAAAATAAATCTATTCCATTTTCATAAAATAATACATCTTTTATGCACAATACTTATTTGAACTTTCAAAAAACAACATTATTTGTATGGATTTTTAAGAAAACTGACTTGTTTTATCTCTATGGTGATATTTTGTTACTACAACAAACCTACCTCGTCTCTAATTTGATATTATTGGTACAGCACCAACCTGCATCATCTCTAATTTGATATTTTTGTTGCAGCACCAACCTACCTCATCTCTAATTTGACATTTTTGTAATAACACCAACCTAACTTATTTATATAGCGATATTTTTGTAACAACACAAACTTACCTTATCTCTAATCTCCTCATCGTTGGCACTGATGGCGGCCAAAGCTAAAAATGCCGCCCTTCTCATCTCACTGCCCCAGTCCACTTCCTTCAGTAAAAAAAATTCCAGTACAAATCAATTGATGCTAATTAAGTATTATCCATAAAAATCCTCAAACTACTGTTAAAGATAAGAAATAATGACAGTCTTAAGCTAATGGCATAGCTAATGGCATAAGTGATGTTCAACTCTGGACTCCTCTAACATTATAAAAAGTGTTGGACTGCAATAAAACTTTAAAATAGATTAATTTTGTCTGGTTTTAGCTCCCTCTCCTATTTTTTTCTGTTTGTACTGATGAAGGCGTGTGCCGAAACGTTTAATGTGTATAATGTATAATTATTATTAAAGAGTAACTTATACTGTTATATTGACACAATTTGTTCGTGTCTTATTAATCTACCCCTCTAACAAAGTGGCTGTTTTCCCAGACACTATTATTCTTGGCTATCGATAGCTCTGTTTTAATGTGTGATAGTAACAATAGTAAAAAAGCCATTGGACTTCTCATATTACTAGGATATATTTCTTCATATTGGAAAATAAATTTTTTATTGAATAACATAAATAGATGTTTGAAATATTTTTAACTAATGGCCGCTAATGTTAGTTGAATTGTGCATATCTGACTAAACATAGTGAATCAATTAATTTGATTACAATAGCATATTAAAATTATGAAAATAAAATCAAAATATTGAGAGTCACTGACTTTTTTGTCCACAGAAGAAATTTTCTTGACATCTTTGTAGTGCAGGTAGTTGGAGTGTGTGCTGATCAGATGGTCTGTGATGCTGGCGATCATTTGAAGGTCAGGGTCAACTTCCACAAGGTAGGCCAGAGTCTCTGCTCCTCTGACATTTTCGTCTAGTGGCCGATCTCTTTTACACATCCGAACCAGGGTTCCCAATGTCTACAAAAAATGAAAAAATGGATTGCACAAAGGTATAGGGTTTAAAAATGGGAGGGAATATGACCATATGCATCGACCCACTTCTCCCCAGTTTGCCCTCAAAGATACAATGAAAGTAAATTGGTCTTTTGAGACGCAGCAATCGATGCATATCCATGTGGTGACAGATGTGTTTGAACGCCTTCCTGTTCGTCCAAAGCGCGTACCATGGGTCCCACTTGACTCCGGACGTATTCGGCGCAGCAACGTCATTGTCATCAGCGGCCGCCAGAAGCTTCCAGACCAACTACGAGTAGGCCACTATAACTGCCAATCCGTGGGCTCAAAGTGCGGGGCGAAGCGAACAAAGATAGTAGAGTTCGTAAAGGACGAATTTGTTGACGTGCTGTTCCTGACGGAGACTTGGTTGAGGTCAACAGGGGATGATGCCAAGTGTGCTGACCTCACGCCACCGGGTTTCGATATTAAGTCCTTTCCGCGTGCTACGCGAGGTGGCGGCCTCGCTGTCATTTATCGTAGCCACCTCCCAGTGACTTTCACCTCCACATTCCCATTCCAGCACACCTCTCTAGAACTTGTTCAGTTCACCCTCAACACGCCCCACACTGTCAACATGTTCTGCTTGTACCGCACTCCGCCCAGTAAGAAGAACAAGCTCCTAAACTCCACCTTCCTCTCTGAGCTCCCTGACCTACTTGACTACTGCAACCTGCTCCGTGGAACAAGTGTGATCGTGGGCGACCTTAACGTTCACTATGACGTCCATAACACGTGAATATAGCGCAGCTCGCTATCAGACATAAATAATACACATCCTATCACTCCAAAGTTCCACTCAAGACTGCCGCACGACTAAAACATACGTCATAGAGACAATGGCGGGAAGAGTGTTTAATAACTATAAGAATCAAGCGCGGGAAAAGCGTTCAACAACTAATGAACATAATATTCAGTCGCAACAATTACTAATGAACGCTCATACTCGACAACCATCTAAATCATGTGCATGAGCAGCAACGGAACAAATGACTGCTGCAAAGAACCATGCAACTTTTGCTTGGGACCCACAGACTTAAGTTTAAACCTCAAGGTTTTAACATTAACTAGCTTGCTTTTTGTTCTATTTAATTAAAAAACTATTATTGATTTCCATTCACAGCTAATGTTGCTATGGTAAATTCAAGGAAAAAATGGGGCATTGATTGTTCGTGTTTCACTGTGCTCTTTATGCGTTCCACATCGCAGGAGTTGTCGGAATTTTCATTGTGTCAATGTGATACCGCCAAATGGACTACATCTCAGGGTCTGATTTCAGACTTTGCCTTCTCTTAGATGTGTTGCCATCCAAGGTTAACGAGTCCTGTCCACCCAGGTTGGTGGTGTTCTTTTTGCTTGTCTGTACTTTTGCTGGGGGATTGCTGCACTCTAGTCCACAAACTTGGGATTGACTCAGTTGAGCACACAGTATTTCAACTGTACACATTGCCAAATAACATGTAACACTGGAACAAATATCTCAAATGTGCCAACATTATGCACATGGTATTGAAAATTATTTGAATAAAAATGGATGCAGTGGCAAAGCTGACAAAAAAATTTAAGCACACTTAAGTTTACAGCAAATCTTTTAAAATGCATTCTATGAAAAATGCACCTCTATCAATGCTTTTTTACCCATGTCAATACCTTTCTGCTTATAACAAAATCTGTGGCTTCTATTGCCCCACCACGATGCAGGTAGGTCAGGACTTTGGCTGCCGCCAGCTGCATCTCCGAAGGTTTGTCTCGACCCATCAACTCCACAAAGACTGGGACTAAATCAGGAACTGAAATAAAATAATGGACTAATCAACGCAGACATAAATTGAAATATGACTTTACAATGAGGACAAAGCCTCATACAGGAGCGGTTGGCAACCTTTCCAGGTACAGCAGTCGGAGAAAACATTTTTCTTTTGGCAGTGACCTAATTGTTTCATTTTGTTATCACAATTTTGCTTGAATTTTAAATGAAATGAATATGTATATGTTGAGCGTTTAGCTTCGGTTAGCCGACCATCTGACAGACTGCCAACCCTATCTGTCCAATATGAATTCATTTGTAGAGTTGCTTGACAACTTTTTATGATTTAAAAATATGAAGGAATTTTATTATGTAGGGTTTTTTTTTTAATAACAAACTAAACATGGGCATATATTGGAAAGACATCAATAGTACTGTAAATATCAATAGTATTGTAAGTATCGTTAGTATTTTAAATTTTAAATTTCAATACAGCAATCAACATGCAAACTACTCTTGAATCTATTGTTCTTCCTGTGAAGACAGCTACAACAGGACTGATAGACGGCTATAATTGTGTAAAACATTAACTTGACTCTTTGCTTACCTGCTACAATAGCTGTACAGACAGCTGTATTTTTGTAACACATGTTGGCAAAGCATCTCAGTGTTGGCATCTGCACTTTGTAGCACTCTGAGAGGAGGAGAGGGGAGAAAATATCCAATGTGTTGCTCTCCAACAAATACATCTGGTGCTCTTTAGTCTGGAAAAATAAAATAATAATCAACACATAGTCATTCAATCTCTAGTTTTCTCTAACTTATTCATATTACAAAAAACCTCCACTTAGTTTTGCAAGAAAGGATCATAATAAAGAGCCAAACATATTAAAGGTGTATTTTCCATATCCTCTACAGTCAGGGTTAAGGAAGATTCGATGAGGTCTAAGATTCGATGAGGTCTGCATTCAACTTGTGTTTCTCAAACCCAGGAACAAACACAAATATTTTCATCATTGTTTTTTTTGTACCACTTGAGCATGTTAACAGACCATAACAAGAAAAGTCATTTTGTTTACATTTGAGCATGTTGACAGACCATAACAAGAAAAGTCATTTTGTTTACCACTTGAGCATGTTGACAGACCATAACAAGAAAAGTCATTTTGCTTACCACTTGAGCATGTTGACAGACCATAACAAGAAAAGTCATTTTGTACCATGTTTGTAAAATTCTATTGTTTCTCAAAGTTAAGCTCATACACAAAGCCCCAGGTTTAAATAAAAATTATTTTTTTTTAATGCATTTTGAATTCATTTCTAACAACCACAAATTTGAGAGAGTGGCCACATTCAAATATCTAGGGGCAACTATAAATGAGCACAATGAGGTAATGTCAGAGGTGAAAGAAAGATAACAAAAGCTACTGGTAAACAAAAACCTATCAAGGGGAACAAAGAAGACAATATACACCACCATCATAAGACCTGTAGTAACACGTACGCTAGTGAGACCTGGACCCTCACCAGAAAAGCAGAGAACCTGCTCAACACATGGGAGAGGAAAATCCTCTGCAAAATATACGGACCAGTGATAGAAAATGATATCTGGATAATACGTACAAACCAAGAACTTTACTATTTGTACAAAGAACCACCCATAGTCACAATGATAAAAAAAGGCAGAATACGCTGGGCTAGTCATGTTGAAAGGATGCCGGAATGCAGAGCAGGCAAAATTATATACAGGCAGAAGCCTAGGGGCAGACGACTCAACGGTCGCCCAAGGATGAGGTGGATTGATGATGTGGAGACAGATTTACACCAGTTGGGGGTTCGAGCATGGAGACGGAAAGCCATGGATTGCTCCAATTGGAAGGATGTGGTGGAGCAGGCCAGGGTCCTACATGGGCTGTAGTGCCATTGATGATGATGAATTATTTCTCACTTTGAAGAAACTAGGCCTGAGCATGGCACAGTTTTTTTTACACCCAGTCCAGGTCTGAATATTTTGAGACAATACCCAGGGGGACAAAGTCTGGGTTTTACACATGCAAAAAAAAATGAAACAAAGAAAAATATAAATAAATAAAAATCATACATAATTTTTTTTTAATAAAAGGAAATTGTCAGAATACATCTATCGAAAGGATCAAAGTTTTTTTTATGCAGTTGTAGTGTGGTCAGAGTGTAGTAACAATAAGAAAATAGCCCAATCACTGTGAAGAATATTTAAATTTAAAAATGGAAATTCAAATAAGAAANGTGTTCTTTTTGCTTGTCTGTACTTTTGCTGGGGGATTGCTGCACTCTAGTCCACAAACTTGGGATTGACTCAGTTGAGCACACAGTATTTCAACTGTACACATTGCCAAATAACATGTAACACTGGAACAAATATCTCAAATGTGCCAACATTATGCACATGGTATTGAAAATTATTTGAATAAAAATGGATGCAGTGGCAAAGCTGACAAAAAAATTTAAGCACACTTAAGTTTACAGCAAATCTTTTAAAATGCATTCTATGAAAAATGCACCTCTATCAATGCTTTTTTACCCATGTCAATACCTTTCTGCTTATAACAAAATCTGTGGCTTCTATTGCCCCACCACGATGCAGGTAGGTCAGGACTTTGGCTGCCGCCAGCTGCATCTCCGAAGGTTTGTCTCGACCCATCAACTCCACAAAGACTGGGACTAAATCAGGAACTGAAATAAAATAATGGACTAATCAACGCAGACATAAATTGAAATATGACTTTACAATGAGGACAAAGCCTCATACAGGAGCGGTTGGCAACCTTTCCAGGTACAGCAGTCGGAGAAAACATTTTTCTTTTGGCAGTGACCTAATTGTTTCATTTTGTTATCACAATTTTGCTTGAATTTTAAATGAAATGAATATGTATATGTTGAGCGTTTAGCTTCGGTTAGCCGACCATCTGACAGACTGCCAACCCTATCTGTCCAATATGAATTCATTTGTAGAGTTGCTTGACAACTTTTTATGATTTAAAAATATAAAGGAATTTTATTATGTAGGGTTTTTTTTTTAATAACAAACTAAACATGGGCATATATTGGAAAGACATCAATAGTACTGTAAATATCAATAGTATTGTAAGTATCGTTAGTATTTTAAATTTCAATACAGCAATCAACATGCAAACTACTCTTGAATCTATTGTTCTTCCTGTGAAGACAGCTACAACAGGACTGATAGACGGCTATAATTGTGTAAAACATTAACTTGACTCTTTGCTTACCTGCTACAATAGCTGTACAGACAGCTGTATTTTTGTAACACATGTTGGCAAAGCATCTCAGTGTTGGCATCTGCACTTTGTAGCACTCTGAGAGGAGGAGAGGGGAGAAAATATCCAATGTGTTGCTCTCCAACAAATACATCTGGTGCTCTTTAGTCTGGAAAAATAAAATAATAATCAACACATAGTCATTCAATCTCTAGTTTTCTCTAACTTATTCATATTACAAAAAACCTCCACTTAGTTTTGCAAGAAAGGATCATAATAAAGAGCCAAACATATTAAAGGTGTATTTTCCATATCCTCTACAGTCAGGGTTAAGGAAGATTCGATGAGGTCTGCATTCAACTTGTGTTTCTCAAACCCAGGAACAAACACAAATATTTTCATCATTGTTTTTTTTGTACCACTTGAGAATGTTAACAGACCATAACAAGAAAAGTCATTTTGTTTACCACTTGAGCATGTGAACAGACCATAACAAGAAAAGTCATTTTGCTTATCACTTGAGCATGTTAACAGACCATAACAAGAAAAGTCATTTTGTTTATCACTTGAGCATGTTAACAGACCATAACAAGAAAAGTCATTTTGTTTATCACTTGAGCATGTGAACAGACCATAACAAGAAAAGTCATTTTGTTTATCACTTGAGCATGTTAACAGACCATAACAAGAAAAGTCATTTTGTTTATCACTTGAGCATGTTGACAGACCATAACAAGAAAAGTCATTTTGTTTACATTTGAGCATGTTGACAGACCATAACAAGAAAAGTCATTTTGTTTACCACTTGAGCATGTTGACAGACCATAACAAGAAAAGTCATTTTGTACCATGTTTGTAAAATTCTATTGTTTCTCAAAGTTAAGCTCATACACAAAGCCCCAGGTTTAAATAAAAATTTTTTTTTTTTAATGCATTTTGAATTCATTTCTAACAACCACAAATTTGAGAGAGTGGCCACATTCAAATATCTAGGGGCAACTATAAATGAGCACAATGAGGTAATGTCAGAGGTGAAAGAAAGATAACAAAAGCTACTGGTAAACAAAAACCTATCAAGGGGAACAAAGAAGACAATATACACCACCATCATAAGACCTGTAGTAACACGTATGCTAGTGAGACCTGGACCCTCACCAGAAAAGCAGAGAACCTGCTCAACACATGGGAGAGGAAAATCCTCCGCAAAATATACGGACCAGTGATAGAAAATGATATCTGGATAATACGTACAAACCAAGAACTTTACTATTTGTACAAAGAACCACCCATAGTCACAATGATAAAAAAAGGCAGAATACGCTGGGCTAGTCATGTTGAAAGGATGCCGGAATGCAGAGCAGGCAAAATTATATACAGGCAGAAGCCTAGGGGCAGACGACTCAACGGTCGCCCAAGGATGAGGTGGATTGATGATGTGGAGACAGATTTACACCAGTTGGGGGTTCTAGCATGGAGACGGAAAGCCATGGATTGCTCCAATTGGAAGGATCTGGTGGAGCAGGCCAGGGCCCTACATGGGCTGTAGTGCCATTGATGATGATGAATTATTTCTCACTTTGAAGAAACTAGGCCTGAGCATGGCACAGTTTTTTTTACACCCAGTCCAGGTCTGAATATTTTGAGACAATACCCAGGGGGACAAAGTCTGGGTTTTACACATGCAAAAAAAAATGAAACAAAGAAAAATATAAATAAATAAAAATCATACATAATTTTTTTTTAATAAAAGGAAATTGTCAGAATACATCTATCGAAAGGATCAAAGTTTTTTTTATGCAGTTGTAGTGTGGTCAGAGTGTAGTAACAATAAGAAAATAGCCCAATCACTGTGAAGAATATTTAAATTTAAAAATGGAAATTCAAATAAGAAAAAATTCACATTTCACACCCGATCCCCTAAAATTTCATTTGTTTCTTAGGCGACCCCTGACATTTTGTCAGGCGACCCCAAGGAGGTTTTGACCTACAGGTTGAGAGCCACTGCCATAACACAGAGCTTTTAAATTTGCCTTTGTGCTCCTGGTGGCAGTTTTCCCTTTTCTGATACCATTGTATTCAAACTATTTAAAGTAATATTTACATCTTCATCATGGCAATACCATCCTAGCCTTCATTCAGTTGAGCCAATAGCTCCATTTATAAATAAGTGTTACATTAAATTACTATAATTGAATTTTGACAGAACTTAGAAATGATCCACAACACACACACAAACGTTGGCTACTCATTATCATCAGCCAGTCAGCATGTGAAATGGAACATTAATGGTTATTAGAAAGTGCCATAGTCTTAACCAAAGATAAGCATCTTGCTAAGATAAATAATTTTTAAAAAATTTCATCTTCTGAACTTTGTGGTTTCATTTAGCTTCCATAATGATGTTTTCTATTATCATTTAATCAATTCAGGTAAAATGTGCACAAATTTATGTTAAAAAAAAAAAGTTGTACTGTTTTTATACCTTCTACCCATTGGGTAGACACATTATGGAAAATTATAAATTTTTTAACACCTGGACCCAGTTCTGTTTTTTTCTCTTCAGGTCTGGGTATGTGACGGGTGCTAATTTCTGGGTATCTGGGTCAGTGCCCGGCTCAGACCTAGCAAAAAAACCATTGTGACAATTACCTAATTTTTAATTGCTATTTTACTTTCATTCATACAAAATGAAACATCATTCAGTCCTTGTGTGCCGACTCGTACAAATGCTCAATTTGTCTAGCAGTGGTCTATACAGAACACTATAAACTGGGTGTGTTTTGTAATTGCATCTCTTCAGTAAGGGGTGGTAGTGGGAGGCTGCTGTGAACTATCATCAAGTTCAGGAAGCATACCATCTGGAATTGGTGGCCAACACAACTGCTGATAATGCAATACTTATATTACATACCACGCAGCACTTTTCCAGAATGGTAGTGATACATTCTTGACAAACAATGGAATATTTGATCAGGCTCAGCAGGTGCGGAATGTAAGTGCTTCCATATGCATTCTCCTGGTCAAATAGAGGAAAGCAGAAACATAAGACTACACAAGTGCTTTATCAGGGAGATTTTCTTGAAGAATATTTTTTTAAAGATGTCACAGATCAAATATTTAGATAATAATTTTGTTTCGGAATAATGTATTGTTTTTATGAGTTAAGAGGAACAGGAAGTTAATTAAGATATGTCATGCACAGCAGAAGTAGAGAAGGAGACAAGTGAAAATAGAAGCATATGTTTGAAGATAGGCTCTTTGCCATACATCTCTTGGCATCGTGTTACTTATTCAATAGATCTGTGTGAAAGTCATATGTGAAGTAAATAGACAATAACAGTTATAATTTCCTCCAATTTCGGAGATGTGTATTATGTATTTCATGTGGTGTAATTTATATATATAATAAAAGGTCGGGATGCTAAATTCATGGACTCCGCCTCGTATACTTTGTGAATGTGGATAATTAACACTACAACTATGTATTTACAAGTAACATCATCATCACTAATGATCGTTACATAAGATATCTATTTAATATAAGAATGGATTGGAAAAAGCCAGAGAGATAAAATAGAGAATTAGGTGAATGAAAGAAAAATGTACTGGAGTTAGCTAGAGAAGCATTTCCCATAACTTTAATTATGGCGGAGTGGTGGACTGGTTTCGGATTACACCAGGGACCTGAGCAAAATTTATGAATTAACTTCTTCATATCTACCTTAACTATGTCGTAAAATATTTTTTAAACTGTAATCAGCCAATTCAATAGGACTCAACTAACACCATTTAATGCCAGCAGGTTTTTTTTTTTGTATTTGTAAGGGCTATTTAAAAACAAAAACTGAAGTCTATGTCATGAATTGTCAACCTTTTTGCCCAGAGGGCCGCATAGCAGTTATTTTATTCTTTGCTGGGCCCCATGATAATCTTTTTGCATATGTCATATTAAAGATGATCTTCAAAAAAAATCATTCAAGATTAAATTCCCAATAAGCAGTGAATATGCTAAAATGTGTCATTAGTATTAGTTTTAGTTTGACAATATTCACTGTGATTATTAATTTTCAAAGGCTCCTACAAATAATCATTCACAATTTGCGCATTTTACTAAAAATATTAATCCAGTTCTTGGAAGTTCTTGCAGGCCTCATTTAACGTTTCAGTGACCCACCTCTGGTTTAGGTCAAAGGCCAAAAAAACTTTCTCCGTTGACAAAAGGTTTTCACAAGATGGGATTTCAGTGGCGTAGCCAGTACTATTGCCGCCAGAGGTGAGAAAAGATATTTGCTTTCCCCTTTTTTCAAAAAAGACCTCTGCAGCTGCCCAAAAATGCTGCCCCTCCATATAAAGAAAAAAATGCCATCCTCTACTATCCCCTGTCTAAATAACTGGTGGTTTTAACTATTATTTTAATCATGCTGTATGCAAAATTTTGAAAAGAATAATCTTTCTTGCAAAATCTAAATTTAAAACTTTCAATTTACAGCCAGTGAGTTAAGGTTGAGATGTGTGTTCCCTTTAGGGTGCAGGTGTGTTGTGTGAAAATAAGCGTTAGGTACTTGCACTATTTTTTTGGACATCAAAGGAGCCTAGCAGTATGGCATACTAGTGTTTTCCCATTTGGTCGCATGGATTCAGTCAAATTCTTAGGCTATTCTTGACGCATACAAAGCGGGATATTTTTTATATACAAAGCGGGATATTTTTATGCTAAGGATAATTTCAATTTTGGGAGGTTTTTTTAATATGAAACTCAAACATGTAACTTTCCCTCCCCGGTTTCTTGACTAATGTTGTGCAGACCACCGTTTGGGGAACCTGAGATAGAGAGATTAACTAGAGGAGGTGAATGAAAAAACTCAACTACCATATAAATCAAATTGAATCAATTGAAATAGAAAGTTTTTCTGAAAAACAAAGCAATAGTCTCTCAATGTGTTTTTTTTTCCCATTCAATCAGTAAAATTTAAGTGGACTAAAGTTCTGAATTAGTCTTACCTCATAGAAACATGAAATAGATTCTGTATTGACAAGTAAAATAGAACGTAAGCATCTTAGTATAGCTTCTGAGTATCGCAGACTTAGATTTGTTAGAGCTGTAATAAAAATAAGAGTACATTAAAATTAGCCATGGCTTTAAAGAACAAACAAAACAGAATGATGTATGCATTTTTGGCTACTCTTATAGTTACTATTATAGTTATAGAAATGTAAAAACAATAAATTCATGTACCAGGTAGCAAATGACATTATCTTCTGATGTTTTTGTTAAAATGTGTTTAAATCATTCAGCTTAACTGTTGAGGGCATTTAAGTACAGATTTACAGTCTTACATTTGAGTAGTATTGGAACTGTCTTCTCTTGCACTAGTTCTTTGACAATGCTAGTATTTCCTTTGGCCAAACTGCCCAGCACAATAGCTGCCTCTGTCCTTAACTCAGCATTTATGTCCTCATCTTCCACCCATTGAAGAAGTCTGGAAAGTATTCAAACTTACATGAAACAATGGGCTAAAAGTATTAAAATTTAGAAATATGTTTAGGCTGGTCAACACAGCAGTGGATAAGATATTTGAATAAGAAGGGATGGAGTTAAAACCTAGAAAAAAAACAAATGTGAACACCAAAGCTCCCCTCTCTTGGGGGATAAGAAGGCTCACTATGGCACTAACCAAAGCAAATAAAACTTGATGGAGAAAGGTTTTACAAGACCATCTCGGTGAAAAACATGCTACGAAGCAAGAATTCTGTTATTTACCAGAAAAAAAGTTAAAGTAACTGGGTAAAAAAAAGAAAAGAAAAAAAAAATGTAACTAGGGGACATCAATCCATAATGACGTTATATTTTGGTAGATTTTTACACCCCCCATCCTGCCTTTCCACCTGTCACAAAATTTTGACACCCCCATGATACATTGTCATGAATTCTTGAACCCCTCCTAGCGGCATGACCTCATTTATTTGGAGGACCCTAAGGTAGCTTGAATTTTAAGTTTAGTAGATTTAAATTTGGAATACTTTATGTTATTATAGGCTAATTTTACCTCATTGTTTAATCTCTACAAATTGAACTTGCAGAAATCTTAATAAACATAGAAGTAAAAAAAAAACTATTATAAAAGGATAAAATAAAGAGCCATAATGAATCTTATTAAAATAAACAAAACAATGAAACTTCTCTACCTTGGAACTAGTCCATACTGTAGACTTTGCATTTTTTCACGATCACTGCCAATGACATCATTTTTAACTGCACTAAGGACAAAATTATAAATGTAATTGAGCCATTGACATGGCACCACATGATTAATTAAGCAACAAATAAAATAGTAATTTTTCTACTTGTATGTGATGTCTGTTATTTTTTAAGGTGAGTGCCTCTGAGTGGTATTTTTTTAACATTATTAAAGTTAAAAAATAGCAAAAACTTCAAGTCCAGCACAACTCCATGCCATTTAAAAATATTATAATTGAATTTTAACATACTGCAAAGAATAGAAACTCTAAAAATGCCCCCCACATACATGATAGCCTCCATCCAATCAGCTGGTTGGGCATCATTTAGTAATATGGCTACGTTCGGTGGCATCTCAGAAGTTCTGGACTCAGAATCAATATCCTAAATACAAAAAAATACATTCATTCAATTTCATATATAAAAGGTCTAACCTAAAGAATATGGTACCGGGTACCTAATCCTTTGGTTATAAGTTATGTCTACTGATTAATGGAAGATCCCGAATTTAAATTATTTATTTTAATTATGCCTATTCTAGTAACAACTTATTTCAATTACATTAACATGAGGTCACATTAACACTATTCAAATGCAGCTTACAGCAACAGTCAATAAGTCTTACAAGATGAATAAAATAAGTTCGTGAGACTGGTGGGCTACATTTTTAACTTGATTCTTAATTGTATTTTATTTAACTTTTGTGTTCACTATTTTGATGCTGCAAGTGTTTTGGTGTTACTTTCAATTTACTCTTTATTAGGCCAAATGAAAACAATGATAGTAGTTTGTTTTATTAGGTAGGCCTAAAAAATGTCCAATAAAATATATAATAACTTGACTTACATAACAAAAGACAAAAGCCAGTTAGTTTTTAATACTATTTTGATATTTTGTTTAAGTAATGTTTAAAGCTTAGACTAAACTAGGGCTTATTTTTTAGTAACATCTTAGGCTCCGGTCTAATAGTATGAGTAGTATACACTACTACTACTACTTAGTACTAATACTAATAGTCATACTGAGTCATAGTATTTGTAGTAGCCTTTTAATTTTAAGTACTGACTAATGTACTAATAAATATTTGTCCTATGTCCTATACTATGACATGTCATATAACTTCAATAATCAAATACTATAATAAATTTTAATAATACTAACTATACAAACTAACTATACTATAATAATAGTCATTATAGAGTGTATATAGAGATTCTCGAAATTATAATAAAGTATGAATCATGAAGTATAAGTATTACTAGTACTAGTATTAAGTAGAAGAAAGCAAGCATAATAATAATATTAATTTAATTATTAAATTATGATATTAATTTACTTTAGACTTTAGCTTTTGGTGACTATTTATCAGTCCTCGTCCCCCATATTTATATCCTTAATTAAACGTTTAAAGTATTTATTTACCATTTCAAATTTCATTAAGATTAAAGACTGTTAAAGACCACCAAGAAAACTAAACACAAGACAAGAAAAGTTCAACTTCAGTTAACATTCAATTATGTATACTCTCTAATAATAAACGAGCAATGTTATTATAACGTTTCAGATACCAGTTTCAGATAGCCTATAGTAACTTTTGAATCAAAATTTAAAACACATCAACTTTCTACATTTAACAAAGGCTATTCATTAAAAAATATAGGGCTTACATTACATGTAATTATATTGTTTATTATTATGAGAAGGCTCGGCTCGGCGTTTGCCTTCTATCTTTAAATATCGATACCAAATTACTACTTATCATTTTTACTCTTCACTTAAGGTTTAAATTATTGAACTTAATCAAATAGTCCCTTATATTTTTTCAATAATATTTTCAGAATGTTACAAAATTAACATTAATTATAGGCCTACAACAATAATAATTTGAATGATTCGCAGTCAAGATATTTCACAAAAAAGTGTAGATACAAGTATTTTAACGATACCCAGATCCATTTAAAACACATTACTTTTTCCTAATAAAGGCTGCGAATTAATATTAACATTAGCCTGGATTTGACACCTTCATAAATTTAATGATTTACAAGATCAATATAAAAACTTTCAATTTTAAAAAAGAATATTCAAATTATTTTTTGATATACATTTAGCAATTTTGATTAGCCGGTAAGAATGGTAATTTAATTATTTTTTGTTTATATTACCTCAAAGTCCAAGGGGAAGTTAATGTAACTATTTTTAACTACCAAATGATCATCTGAGTTATGACCCTGCGCTTGGATAAATTTAAAACTGCGCTTGGGATAAATTTTTAATATTATATCAGGAGTTTTTAATCTTTTTGCAGCGCACCCCTTCCTGATTTCAAAACATTTCCCCATACCCCCCCCACGATAATAAATATGTTAATAAAAATAAAATAAATATGATTTTCTAGGTCTGCCCCCCACCCCCTGAGACTCCCTCCCGTACTCCCTTTCTTATCTAAGAAACCTCTTCTTATCCTTGGCCCTGATGAGAGGAGTCAAGGTGTGGCATGTGTTAATGGTGTTTAAAATAAAGTATCCACGATGATAAGAAATGTAGAGCCTGCAGCTATAATTATAAATTGGTGTATTATTTTTTTAAATATTTCCATTTTATGTAGGCAACACTTAAACTAAAATCTGAATTTAAGACAAGCCTCAATAAAATATTGTCAAAATAAAGCCTCCAAGCCCAAATAATCTGTGACACCTTTTTGATGACTTGGTAGGTTGTAAAAATCAGCCTAAATATTATGGATGATACTTAGTGACAACTTTAGTCCACCATATGGCTCCCTGCCTGTTGTGACATAATTTGTGACATAACTATTTCTTTTGACTAAACCAAAGATTGTACAATGCAGGTATCAGCCTAAATATTATGGATGATACTTAGTGACAACTTTAGTCCACCATATGGCTCCCTGCCTGTTGTGACATAATTTGTGACATAACTATTTCTTTTGACTAAACCAAAGATTGTACAATGCAGGTAGGCCTAAAGACTATACTGGTTTCAAAAAGGGGAGAAAGCCTGTGATATAATTTTTTTTAGCACAGCTTACAGTGACTTTGTTAATTAAGTTTCATTGTCCTTCATAATTGTATGAAGAGATTTGGATTTTTGTTTTGAATCTCACCTTTTGTACCAATGCATGGAAAAGTGTGGTCGAAATTGTAGGGGGACAGCAGGGGAGAGGAGAAAGAAAATATGTCATTTAGGTGTATGTAATAATAAATCTAGGATGCTAAGCTAGGAATGCTACTACAATTTTGACTAGAATTCAGAATAATTTTTTTTAAATTTTTCAAATAAATATTTTTTTTTATTAATTACTTATTTTTAAAGTCTAATTTGAAATTCTGAAAAAAGAAATGTAATCATATTTTAGTCCAAATAATATAAAATGTAGGCCTGATGTGGCCCATTAATATAGTGTCGCTTTCAATCCATTTTTGTTGAATATTTTGTTAATCACTTGCAGTAGTTGTAGATAATTTTGAATGTCTGCATCAAGAAAGAAGAAACTGCCCTGCATATTCAGTTCTTCATCTCCTTGTGCTGACACCCATAAAAATGGACCTGGTCAGGATCATCAAAGTCTTCTAAGGGGCTATCCATAAACAATATCATGCAAGGTGGGAAGGGGGGGGGTGGTTCGTCAAAAATTGGTGACGAAGCCTGATCAAAGTTTTGGGATTGATTGATTGAATACTTATCTAGCGCTTGTATCCATATTATACATTGCTGTTCTTTATTTCATAAATGTATTTTATTTTAATGTCATGATTATGTCTCTTTTGATAAAATTTTTATGTACAGCGCGGTGAGCCCAGCCCTAGACTGGTGTACCGCGCTATATAAGACCTCTTTTTATTATTATTATTATTATTTTAGTCCACCATATGGCAGGAGAAGTGCAGGGAGCAACATATGCCTTTACATTGCGTTTGTCGACCTCACTAAGGCTTTTGATATTGTCAGCAGAAGCGGCCTGTTTCAGATCCTCAAAAAGATAGGCTGCCCTACACGACTGCTTAACATCATCAAGCAGTTCCAAGAAAACATGCAGGTGCCGCCTCAAAAGCTTTTCCAGTGATTAGTGGAGTAAAGCAAGGTTGCGTACTGGCTCCTACTTTATTTGCAATCTTTTTCTCCATCCTACTCCAGTATGCCTTTCAGAACAACAGCGAGAGGATATACATCCACACTAGAGCTGACGGCAAATTATTCAACATTGCCCGCCTTAGAGCTAAGACTAAAACAAGAAAGGTCTTGCTGTAGGAGTTCTTGTTTGCGGACGATGCCGCTTTGGTATCTCACACAGCTGACGGCCTGCAGAGCCTCGTATCCAGCCTATCCGCTGCCTCGTGGAATCGTGCCATTACTAATGATTGTGCGAGGTAAAAATCAGCAAAATAGTGTAACTTCATTTATAGATGGTCCCTAATGTGGAAAGCTGAGAGAAAAAAAATGAAAAAGAATGCCCCTTCACTTATTTTTAATTAATTGCAATGAAAATGATTTTAGACAAAAGATAGTTTCAGCTTTATTGCTTGACTTAAAACTTAATTTTTAAAAATAAACTTTAAGATTAATTCAAGATAATGAGGACATTTGAAAAGCAAATTAATTAAGTCATTGATGTATTAATTAATTTTATTGGATTTGCGCGGCCTTTGAAATAAGGCTATTGAGCCTTACAGTATCATCTCTGGGGAATTAGATACAAACATATTTTAGACATAATTTTAGCACACAGTTTATACAGATTTTAAGTTGGTTGTTGATGCACATAGGGTCAAACCCCTGCCCCCTCCCCCAAAGAGCATTGTCTGTGAAACAATGCTGTTGGTCTGAGGCTCTAATCCCAACAACATCAAAGAAATTTGCCATTTCTCCACCCAAGACTTGAGCAATCAAGTAAAAAAATTAATTTGATACACAGTTTATGTAATAGTTTATGAGAATATTACAGCTGACATAAATAGAAAGTTAAAACAAAAATAATTATTTGACAAAAAAATGAATATTTTAGCAATATTGGTAGTAAATACAAGCAGTATAAATATGGCACATGTGGAGAAATATATACATTTAAAATATTTTTAGGTCACAATTTTAAAGCCTGTAATTAAAAGAAAACTAACTAAATCAAGTGTAGCTTTTATCAAAATGATGTTAGTGTTACTATATTTTTAAAAACCTAACACTTAATTTAACAAAATAAACTGTATGAACAGAAAAGCTATTATACTATCATATTTTAAACGTTTTTACAAAACAACTAATAACAGAGCCTTAAAAATGTGAATTAACTTAAAAAAGTGTCAACAGTGGCAACAATACTTCCATTGCATGATGGACAAGACAGTAGTGACACAGCACATGACTTGCATGCTACAAAGTGACCACAAGGGAGAAAGGTTATCCCCCTTTGATTAGATCCACAAGCAATGCACTGCTTGTAGGCCACTAATAGTTTATGCTCATGTTCAACTGCCAATAGCAACTTTTTGATATGTTGTGATTTTGAATCAAGCCCTGCCTTGGACTGTGCAACATCTGGTGCAGTGGATGAGAACTCAGCCTGAGAATCACACTGCAGATCATTGCAAGTTAAAATGCCTTGTCTGGTCAAAACACAAGCTCTTTGAGTTTCATCTAAGTCTTTTATTGGTAGAGAATCATAGTTATAGTTCACAGCTCCGTCACCTGAGTCTTGAACTTCCCCAGATGATCTCCTGCATTTTTTACTTGCTTGATTATAAAATTTTGAATGACCACCAAGGGATGATGCATTGACACAGCTGCCATCGTGATTTAAATATGAACGTTGATCATACCCTACTGCTGAGCTTGGACCATTAGAACTAATGGAGTTAAAGGTACTGGACTGCTTTCTATGCATGGGGAAGGCATATTTTCCTTCACATATTTGCCATAATGACTGCAAACTTATTTCCTGTCCAGCAGATTTCAAAACTATCAAACAGTCAGTGATATATTCTTTTGACCAGTCACTGATTTGAATGATGTCCTGTATAATGGCATCATAAGACTTTATGAATTCCTGCCTCATTTCATTGGTCAAGGTATGTGAGTGCTGGACTGGACTGTTGGGTCTAAAAAGAGTATCAATAGCACTGTCAACAGCAATAGATTCAGATTTAGATTTAGATTGAGACAGTTCATTTCCCGGAATATTAGATGTGCCAGAAGGAGACTCACAAGAGTGTACCGTCTCTTGTTTACGTTTTCTTCGGTTAGGTGATGCAGCACTACTTGAGTTTCCATTTAGGGACGAAGCTAATGGATTGCCGACAACATGGTTAGGAAGTTTTGTGCTGAGGTTAACAGGTCTGTCTCTGTTTGCCATTCTGTGTTAAAAAAATAAAACATGAATCAGCAATTAATAATTTCACATGAGTCAGCAATGAATAAAAAAGATAAAAAAGACAAGTGTGCATGTCTTAGAGTGAAAATATCTTAAGACGGTACTAATTACAAGCAACCACAGCTAATGTGCTAATGTATCTACAGCCTACAACATAATCGTGATAATGAGGGGTTGTACTTTTGGACAAATCGCATCAAACAAATTTTGCTGATTTTTTTAACAAACCCCCCCCCCCATCATTACAAAAAGTTAGACCATGCACAAATATAATGTCAAAAACCTCTTCCCCCCCCCCCCCAATCCCCCAGCTATTAAATCCCTCTGTCCATTACTGCCCTTTACAAACTCTTTTTAAAAGAATCCTCCTCCCTCCACCCCAGTGGATATCAAATTACCGGTATTGCCCTTGTGTCAGAAACATTTCCCAGGAACAGTGATTCTTAACTGATTCTCTCAATTATTGTTGTTTAAAAATAAAAAAATTATAATTTTTGTATAAAACAATAATGTTAAATGTCTGTAATTTAGTGTTATTAAGGGCCATTTTTTGTCAAGAATGCTCTGCTATTAACGTGGCGACATTTGCTTAACCCCGCCAACTATCATCATGAAAATGTGACCCCCCACCTAGAGTCATGACATCATTTATGGATGGCCCTTAATGGTCATAACAATAGTCTGGAAAATTTGAAATGAAAGCAAAAGCTTACTCTGTGAGTCAAACTCATGACATTTAAAGTTTTATAATAATTATTATAATCAGATTAAATATTAGACTTAGTATTTTTTTTTTTACAAAACAGAGGGACCTGAGAAGTCACAATATTTTTTTAACGCCATTTTTAATATAGTATTTATAGTATAGGCACAATTTATCAAACATTTTTCTCATTACTTGTCTACATAACCAAATTAGGTCCTTGCCCTAATCTAGTAATTAGGTTACATACAGTAGCATTATAAAAGTGTATAAGTCAGTTAGTACTCTCTTAACTCTCTACAGCACGTTAGCCCTTAATTGATTATTAAATTTAAAAGAGTAATATATGCATTGTAATTGTAAGTTATAAAACATAAGTGTAAGTTATAAGCCTAGTCAGTTTTCAGTATTGAATTTTACGAGTAATGGTGTTTCTAACACCTCGAGTTTGACTATATATATGAGTACTTTTAGTTTTAGACTCAAGTGGGTATGCATTATACTAGGCACTTTGGTAAGGCAAGGGAGACTACTTCTAAATTTTAATGGGAAATGGAAATCGGCGCAGAAGAATTCAAGTTTTTCATTTTTGGAGGTCGGTGCTTTTTCATTGATGAAAGGACTATTTTGTCATAAAATTGTGGTATTCATCCATACATAAACAATATTGGACATCTTGACCTACATTTCCATAATAAATTTTTGCCTTTTCAATTGACCCCAATATTAGAAATTCATAAAGCATCTTTCCCTACAAAACTTCATATGAAGTTCAAATTTTATTTCTTTCATATTAATTTTATATCTGTAAAATATATTGATGTATACGTGTGCCAATTCTTATTGATCTAGGCATGTTGGCCATTAGTTATGCTCATCTGAGTGACCTGCATTACTATAAGGTCACCCTGCCCCACTTTGACCACGCCCCTTTTTGATGGGGGGTGAAGATGCTGATAATAAATTTTAAATATTACCACTATTTACATCATGATATTTGATAAATTGTGTTTTAGAATGAACTTAGATGTAATTTAAACAATAATATTTTAATTTGAGGTTCAAAAACCCGGTAGAGTCCATATTATAAACTGACATTATAAAAATGACATGGCCATGGGCAGCCATTCACAGTCACCTGCCTAATGGCTATACCGTAGTTCTATCTCAGAGTTTCATTCATAAAAGTTTGCCATGTGCAAAAATTATTAAACCATTGGTTAGGAAAAACTTTAATTAGTTATGTCGTGCCAAAGTTGAAAGTTCAAAATAAGTAGTCCACAAACAGTATTTTAGAAGGGGATGTGCTGCCTTATATAGACTATATGGCATATACCGGTATAATGGACGCCGTAGATTTGGTAACAGAAAAGCCATATATTAATGCATTATATTAAATTTACTGATATACATAGTGCATAGTTAGATAAGCTACAATTTATCTATAATTTGTATTACATTATTTATTTTTTAATACAGCATTGGCATTAGTTCTAAAAATTAAACGATGAGAGTGATATATATAGCTCGTGACACGACCAGTGGAAGTGGGTCACAGAATGGAGATGCAGTCCATGTCAAAAAAGGACAAATGAAGTCATGCTTTAAAAATTCATAGCTCTAAAACTACAACAGCTAAAAATTTTATTTTGGCTTTGGTGTTATAATTCTGTAAAAAAATTAGCTCTATTCAGCTATGATATGCCATTGGTTTATTATTTTACAAATTTTTTTATTTTTTTATCAAAGTACCTACATTATACAGTCTACATCATACATATGTCACAGTATAGCTGCCTAACATCACCAACATTCAAGTCAATGGCAATGGACTCAAACATCAAAAACTTTTAAAAATTTAATGTGATGCTGATGTTTGTGTTAAAATTAAGTTTAAAGAAAGAACAGGTTACCGAAAGAACTTAAACTTATGACTTAGACTAACTGTCACTTAGTTAGAGTTAGATTTAAATTGACTTTTGTGTTTTATATTTATTAATTTAATTTAAAATATTTCCTATTTAATTTTAATACTATACTTACTATTTAAAGTATTTATAATAACGGCAGACCGAAATCTGTGAATAACGGTGAGCGTTATCCGCACAGCTCTGTGAATAATCACTTCCTTATAATAATATAATAAATTATCTTATTGACCTGAGTCTAACTGACTCTATTTGAAGGCCAATGGAGTTAGATTAACTCATATAATAACATGAAAGGAATATTTATATTTATATAGTAAATGTATGAAGTCTATCACGAGCTGGATCAGCTTCAGATAAAATTGTCACTGACTGAATTGACAATTGACTTGTGTTCCTGTCTGCTTTCTTGGCCTTTGTTTACATCCTTGAAAAATGGTTCGTCTAATTACCGAATCAGTCTAACTGCTACGGAAAAGCTTATTTTCACAACCACGGCTTTTCTATAAGGCTGCAGCTATAGGTACCCGGGTACCTATAGTTGCCAATGACTATTCGCACCCAGAGTGGCTCCGTACAGATTTAATGGCTTCGGAGCCGGGTGTGATAACAATAATAGTATGATAATTATTTTTTTTAAAATTGTTTTTTCTCCTTGTTATTTCATAGATTCATAGTTTTATTCTTATAATTTTTTTTTTATTTTTGCTTTATTAATTTTTCTTAGGAAGGGTAGATTTTTTTTCTTTCTTATTTTCTTTTTTAGTTTAAGCCATTTTCGTAGATCATTTTTTTTTTTAAAATCTAGTAATGAAGATGATTTAGATATATTTATTGTTTTCATTTGAATTTTAGAAAAGTAATAACATTAATTTATTTATTAAAATTAAATCCTTTATTTAAGATTAGTTATGTGTATTGTTTAAGTTAAAAGATTTAATCAATGGTACTTTATGCATTAATTAGGTATTCTAAATAATGAAAATTTCATTCATAATGAATTAATTTCAACTATTCCTCTAGAGAGCTTGGCTTAGTCAGAAAAAAACCCACCACTTTTTCCTTGGCACTGGGAGTCATACATGCGGACACTGACTGTTTTTCCTGATATCTCGACTCTACTTTCAAAAACTTTTCTCATTTGACTTGACCTAATTCACAAGGTAGCTGTAGTGAACACCTTAAAGTTAAAGGATGCCATTGTATAAAGCATGAGAAAGAGACTTATTTTTGGAGGACTCGTCTTTTTTTTTTTTACCATATCTGTCTACTGGGTCTAAGACACTGGTACTTAATTTAAAATTCAATAGAAAAAAAAAACCCTTTAACTGACTTGAGAATATTTTTGTTTGTTTGTCAGTTATTTGAGTAGAAAGAGACTTATTTTTGGAGGACTCGTTTTTTTTTTTTTTACCATATCTGTCTACTGGGTCTAAGACACTGGTACATAATTTAAAATTCAATAGAAAAAAAAAACCCTTTAACTGACTTGAGAATATTTTTGTTTGGTTGTCAGTTATTTGAGTTGTGTACTCCAGTAATCCATAAAATAAATTAGGGGCCAGTAAGGAGTAGGCAGCCAATAAATTCATTCAATTAGGTCACGTCTTTCCTTTGCCTTTTGTCTCCTTTTACTTTCTCAAATTCCTTGTTGGTACCCGTACAGTTAACTATTGTTTGTATCATTTCTTCATTTAAGTACAGATGTATTGGTTGAGTGGGAGCAAATATAAATATGTGATCTGTGAAGGGAGTTTGGTTTCAAGGTCATGCCACATTGAAAATAAAATACTGATAAGCCTAAATAAATTGAAAAAAATATAGTACATACAAACCATACACAAACAGAAAGACTAAAATCCACTTAAGTTTATTTTTTAAAAATTTGTTGTGATTTTTATTGCAAAAAATTTAACATTTTCTACCAATTTTGACTTATACGCAAAATGAATAAGGACAAATTTGTATTGCATTGTAACTTATTGTACTGTATTGTAAATGAAACTTGGCATACACATTAAGAATAACATTGACAACAAGTTTAAAGAAGCTTATTACACAGCAGTTATTGGAAGTGTTACAAATGACTTGTATGTTGGGTCACATAAATATTCGAGAACTCTTCAGGAGTAGCAAATGTAAAAATATTATAAAACTTTTCTAGTTGGATATACCCGGTATATAAAAACGAAGTACATTGAAAATGATGGGATTAAGTATAAACAATTACATTCTTTTTATGAAAAATGAGATAATTGTGAATGTTAATATATAAACATCTAATATAACATCTTGTTGTTAAAGATCGTTCATTTTTTTGTTAATGATCGCTTTATTTTTTCTTAAAGACCGGTTAGTTTGTTCATGAAGATCGCTTAGTTTCTTGTTAAAAATCGTTTATTTTGTTTTTTAAGCTCGCTTAGTTTGTTCTTAAAGATATTTTAGTTTGTTCAAAAAAGATCGCTAAGTTTTTTCTTAAATATCGCCAAGTTTGTGTTATTAAAAGATCTTTTAGTTTGTTCATAAAGATGGCAAAGTTTTTTCTGAAACTGAAAGATCACTGATTTTGTTCTTAAATATCGCTTAGTTCTTCTTAAAGATCATTCAGTTTGTTTGTACTACAGATCTTTTAGTTTGTTATTAAAATCGTTTAGTTTGTTCTTAAAGATCGCTTATTTTGTTGTTGAAGATCCCTTGGTTTTTTCATAAGATCGCTTAGTTTATTCTGATACTTTATTTTGTTCCTTAAGATCGATTAGTTTGTTCTTAAAGATCTTTTAGTTTGTTCCTAAAGAACATTTAGTTTTTTGTTAAAGATCACTTAGTTTATTCTTATAAATCATTTAGTTTACTATTAACTATTAAAGATTATTTGTTTTATTCTTAAAGATCACTTAGTTCGTTCTTAAAAAATCGCTTAGTTTGTTCTTTTTATTAAAGATCGTTTTGTTTTTAAAGATCGTTTAGTTTGTTCTTAAAGATTGTTTAATTTGTTCTTAAAGATCGCTTAGTTTGTTCTTAAATGTCGCTTAGTTTGTTGTTAAATATCCCTTTTGCTGAGAATTAGATGACCGAAAACCTCGGTCACTTTTGAAACGGTTAGTCAAAACAAATGGCTCATGGATTTGGCTTTTCTTGTTGACGTTACCCAAGAGCTGAATGCACTAAACAAGAAGTTACAAAAGACCAGGGGCAGCACTCTGCACAATACTTGTGTTATGGTTCTCAGAGAAACCTCTGCCATTTCCCAACATGCAAAGTACTCATGGACTCAGACACACCATTCAGTAGTTAGTATACTGATGCCATTGAAATTGTAAAGCTACAAGCACTGGAAGAATGTCATCACGTTTGCAGACTTCAAAACACACACAGCCAACATTCAAATTTTTGCTGACCCTTTCTCCTTCAATGTGGAAGATGCCCTTCCCCCAAACTTCTGCACTTAAAATGGAGCTGATTGATCTTCAGTGCAATTCTGAACTCAAGGCTAAGTTCAGGGAGGTGAATGATAAAAAACAGACAATAAGCATTGCCCTCCAACTTTCCCGAGAATTCGAGTATTCTTCCAGCGGATCATGTGCCCTTTTGGGAGTATCGATCTGTGAAAAGCTCTTATCCACTATGAACTTTAACAAGTCAAATTTCAGGACCAAACTTGCTGATGAGCATCTTCAAGCTATACTGATTGTCTCAGTTCCTTATTCCAGCTCAAGCCAAACATTGCTAAGCTATGTAAGAAGCTGGCAACAAGGAGTAGGAAGAAAGGGAATCCCTAATGTTTTATTTGTCATTAACAAAGGCTGAACACATTGTAACCGTTGTGCTTGATTGAATTTGCAATAACTTTTTTGTGGAATACTTCAAGCAGACCAGTTTCAATCAAACTCTACCTCTTGTGACCCCCAGATAATTTGAGTTTGAGACCCATGACTTAAAATAATGAAAACCAATATTTAAAAAAACAACAAAGAAAAAGAAATTGCTTCAAAAGCCTTCTGAAAAGCCACAAATTACTTTTTTATTGTTTCAAAAAAATCTGACAATCAAAAGAAGTAAACTTGTACTCTTGGTAGTCCTCGGGGGAACACTTGTGAGGTCACACCGAGAAGGGCGAAGATCTTACTTAAGCTTCTTCTTGGGGCGAATGTTGCTTGTGTGCCCGCATTTCCTCTTGCGGCAGTTGGTGGCACGAGGATGCAGACGTGCATAGCATCTAGGAAAAAAAAGGTGGCATTTTATTAGCACAAGCAAATGAAAATAAATTATTAACAGTGATACAAACTATAATAAAAAAAGATCCAATACCTTTAAATATTTTAAATCAGAATCAATGTGTGTTTTATTAGAAGGGGAGCCATCGCTAACACAGAAAAACATTGTACATGAATTTGACATCAGCCCATTCCATCACCGCCTTCCAGTCCTGCTTAAAATTTTTTTAATGAGATCACCACAGAATTGACAAACATGAAAACTTTGCTTATAATACCGGTACTTTAAAGGACAAGAATAACTTATCTAATTCCAATTTGCCCCAGCTTTAAAAGTGACACATTTAAATTTTAAAAATGTTAGGCAGCCAAATCTGCGGTACTCACTTTCTGCAAATCATCTTGTCACAGTTGAACTTTGACGCTAGAATTCTAAGGGAAGGTTCAATGATACCTCCTCTCAGCCTCAATACAAGATGAAGGGTTGATTCTGAAACCATTACATGGGCGTTATTTCAAGTACAAGATAAAAATTCAACAAATAAAAAAGAAAATGCATTTCCAAAATATACAAAAGTTAAGATATACAATACAAGAAACAAGCTGCCTTTGTTAAGTCACTAGGCACAATGCAATTTAGAATTCAGCAAAACTCACCTTTCTGTATATTGTAGTCTGACAGGGTACGGCCATCTTCAAGTTGCTTACCAGCAAAGATCAACCTCTGCTGATCAGGGGGAATACCTATGGAAAGAAAATATTAAATACATTATAACATTCATTCATGTCGTGAGATGAATTATCTAGGATGTCATATACATGTCATGGTTTTTCTAGGTACACTGGCACGGTTCACGCAACCACTTCGTAAAATTATTGAATATTCAAGTCAGCCTCATCATAGGGAAAAAAAGTAGGCCGAGCATAAACATTTTTCAAAACAAATTATCACATCAGATAACTGGTTGGGCATAACATTTAATATCCATAGTTTGGTTATAATTAACGTATTCAATAATACATCTACAACATAGGTGCCACGTCTCTGTAAATAAGACTATATTTTAACCCTTTACAGTCCGATGCGCCAATTTTTTCCTTAACTCATTCCCGACGTTTGCGACTAAATGCGTCTTACGGGTTTCGCCGGATGCGTCCAAATGCATAGCGACACACCTCTCTCATATCTATTTAAAAATAGCAATGAAATCTCGAATCCCTCGAGACTTCCGGTGATGGCGTGGTTCAGCGTGATTTTAATTTAAAAACCGGAAGTTTTTATCTTGTTTCACTTTAAAACTATGTGTGCTTTAGAACGGCGCGTCTATATGTAGCATGTGTTCGTCCGAGGTGCCGAAAATAGATTTTTTGGTCATTGTTCGTTATTTTCCCCCCGCTAATGTTATATTTATATTAAACCTTATTCATTTTTTGTTGCATTTGTTCTTAATTAACATTAAATAATATTTAGTAGCTTAAATACATATTTAAAAAATGTAAACAATTTCAAAACGGGGTTACTTCCCTTTCTCAGGCAAATAAATTAAATACGGAAGTAGCATTGCAGGAGGGAATAAGTTAAGCCTACAGTCTGTTGCGACCAAACCCGCCCATTTCAAGGTTGTTTACTTTCGTTCTTAGTACAGCGGAAATCCATTGCGCATTACTATTTATAGTTCTACCAGAAGAAAGCCTCGTTGTCGGCATTTATTTTGATACTAGTTTGACCGCAGTGTGTTTAGGGGCTGATTTTCTATGATTTTTTTAAAAGTCACGATTTTTTCGCTGTAAAAAATGGCTATCTGAGCCTTGGATACACTTTTGAAAGAACTTAGGCCTAATGAAGCTTCACTATTTTATGAGTGGGAGGATCTCTGAAACTATTTTTAGGTTTAACTTTTGCTTTAATCATTTCTTTGTATTTAGGCATTTTTTTATTTTATTGCTTCTAGTTTATTTTCTGTAAATTAATTAGATAAAGAACCTTCATTTAAAATGGAGTTATGTCCCTTTGCTTGGGCGCTGGGAGTAGACAAGGCTGAATAGGCTTGGACTGTAAAGGGTTAATAATCTCAAGGAATTAGAGACTTTGAGAGAGTACCAAAAAAAAAGCATGACTTCGCCATGATTGCAACGAGAGATATTTGATTATTAAAATTGTACGAAGACATATTTATTGCTTGAAATACTCAATGAAGTTTTGAGATTATTCTATTGTACAGGAGGAGCTAATATTTTATGTTATATTTATGTTATAATGTGAGCATTTAAATAAAAGTGTAGCGTGTAACAACAGTACTTGACTTTGTCATTATGGAGGGAGGTGAGAAGCATTTGTGTGATAGTCTAAACATAATAGTGAAGAATGTTTATAATAATGTCACAAGTCTTTACAATAAACACCTGTTTACAAAAGATTACCTTCTTTGTCTTGGATCTTGGCTTTGACATTTTCAATGGTGTCTGAGGGCTCAACCTCGAGGGTAATAGTTTTGCCCGTCAGGGTCTTAACGAAGATTTGCATTTTCCTTGTTTGTGCTCCACTACACTGAAATAATGAATAATACCATTGTTGATTAAAAAAACTACTTAAAAACCTTCATTAGGGCTTAATAATGTAATAGTGCTAACAAAAAACTGAAAAATTTTCACTTATGCTTACAATCTATATCTACAGATTAAAGAAATAAAACGAAGACTAAATTCATCTAATCATTTACAATCAGATCAACACATTGAAGTTCATGCATTAGTGAATGTAGTCTAATAAGCCCATTAAGATTTCAGTTCTACAAATATTTTCTTTAGTCTTTAGAGACAATCCTATACGACCACTGCTAACTTTGTAAAAAAAGAAAAGAAATCATAGCAGGTGCCTAAATTATTTGCACTCTGCCCCACAACATTGTCACTTAAGCAAAACTCAGTGTCTAAAGTAAAATTTGATAAATTTGGATATGGGACACTCAGTGCTGACTCGGCCTTGCCATTCATCTCTTTCTTTTGACAATAAACTTATCAACTGTTTTTTAAATACTAGGCTAACAGCATTAAAAATAACTTTAAAACACAACAAAAATGCACAAAACAATAAATACAATATTGACCATTAAAGTTAAAGTGTTTTATGTAGTTCCATCGGGTAGATGGTAATATTTTAAATTATTGCACTAAAATATAAGGGATTACAGTCTATTTACTTTAAAAAAGGCAACTATGGCAGACTATGCGACAAAAATACTATTTAATTTGAATTTATTGCACTTAAGTGATTACCAGATCTAGTTACCCTCGATTTCCTATAATAATACAATATATCGTATAATACAGAATCTTAAAAGTAAATGTAATTAAGTTTATTGTTTTAAAAATCACGCTTCATCCACAAAGGCTTGAAGCGCAATAATGTTTCAGTTACAGTATATAGGCCTATGCCTATATTGAATGCATACAATAATTCCTTGCATTGCATGGCTAGTGGGATCAATTTAAGTGAGCTGGTGTCAAAAGTAGATGACTAACTTTTATATTGCAATCAGATGTGCTTTGTTTTGCTGACATGTATCAGTATCTGACTATAGATATCAATTGGTATTTGGGTGATCGTGCAGATCACATTACCACGGTCTGTCACTACTCACTGGTAAAAGTAAAAGTATTTAGACTCCCCACCCCTTAGCACACCCATACACTATTTCCTAAATCAATCCCCCATCTTCTCTTGTCATCAGGGCTAACATAATATAAACATAACTATGGATTTTCCTAACCTATAGTAGGCACTTTGATTAAAATTTCAAAACATTTTTAAAAATATAAAAATACTACAGCTGTATAGAGCCCGGAGAAAAGATTACAAAAACACCAAGATCAACTTTCTAGCTCAAGTGGTTCAAAAGTTATGAATTTCTTAGTAGAGACCTCAAATGCACTTTTTTACTATGGGATTTTCCTCTAGAATTTGTGATCATCATTTTGATTTTTTTAAAGGCCTATAACTTTATTATAAAATGAGACAAAAATGTAATATCTACAGGGATCATATTTTAATTAGAGTACTTCTAAATAAAACCCACAAAATATAAGTTAGTTTTTGTTAATATTCAGCAAAAATTATTTAATTTTTTTTTATATATTATTTTCCTATTAAAAATTTATAAAATATGCTGACTCTTCACTTATTTGTAATTAATTAATTATGTATAAATATTTTTTTCAATTTCCCAAAAATCATAATAATAATAAAATATTCTTAAGATATTAATTTAGAATTTTCGGTGGAATTGTTTAAAATTTATAAGTATATACTAATAATAAATGGATTATATGTTTCAATAAGTTAAAATTGACTATTAGACTTTTTATTTTACCATTTTCTATATAATGTATTTTAGTCCCATACAATATGAATGTGTGAATATGACAAAAAATAGTAAGTCTTTTATTTTAAGTTAGTAAAGTTGTGTCACAGATCAACATTTATTGATAGAATCAACTTTGGATGTTGATAGAATTTTAAATAAGTTCTAGTTATTTACTTGCAGAAAGTGTTTTTTTTTTGAGAATACTGAGGATTATATAATAATTCTTCTTTGGAATAGTGTGATATGTGATTAAATATAGGATATTTCAATGCCAAAGGTAAGTGAATATTTTGTTTACAGTTTTACTTAATTTATGCCTTAAGAATCACCATATATATATCATTACATATAAATAATGGGTCCTACAAATAATTATTGGGGGGTGTAAAGGCCTACACTTATACTAGTCGTATTATTCTAGGCCTCTATATGTACATACATACATATTATATATATATATATATTTATAGTATATGTTATTATATAGTTAATACTATACATATAACAGTATATAAAACTAATAGTTAACTATCAATTGTAATTAATTAGGCTTTCAGGAGTAATAGGCTGGATTTCCAGAATAAATTAGGTTATTTACCATAGCAACGAATATTAAACGATAATAGGTAATTTTGGGACACACGTGATTAAAATACTGAGTGAATTTATGACCAAACTGATGGGCCTAAATTAGCATGCCTTGGGTATGTTTTAGTTAATGACATTATTTATAAAGTCCCTGAAATTCAAAGAAAGGGTCCTTTCCACACAAAAAATATGAATGAGTAAAAATTGCGTTATTTTACCTTCAATTTTCAAAGTGAAGCCCAAAATTTTTTGGGGGACTCCAGTGTCTAATCATAACACATGTCTACTCTAAGTTATGGGCAGAAATCGAATTTACATGCTGGGCTATAAATAGTTAAAGTCGTAAACAGCGTGACCCTCTGTAAATTAAAAAGTGGAGGTCGCAATTTTGACAACGAAATCACGATACCCGGTTTTTGGCACTTCTTGGATCTTACCGAACTACCTACCGATAGTATCTCTCAATCCATTTATCAGTGGTCCCTGGATGTAATAATGTAATGTAGAAAGGAGCTAAAACTAACAATCCAAAATGAACTTTTTTTATTTTTATGGGGAAAAGTTACAAGGGGAGTGAATCTAAAACAAAAGCTTAACAAAAATCATGGAATGACATCTAGGCACTAATTGTCTGCATTGGCCGTGTGTCTATTGTAAAAATTTTCAACAAGACACCTCTAAAAATAGTAGTTCTCATTCTGAATGATCTTGATGTACAAACATAAGACATGTCAAAATCGTACAATGTACAATAAAATCGTAAGAGTAAACAGGTCTGGATTAACAAAAAGTTATCTAATTCAATGTGTTTATTTCAGAAAAGTAAATCAAAGAGACTTTATGGACCAGAGTAATATATGAGCACACACCAACCTTATATCGAAAATTGGTAGCCAACACACCCAAGGACTATAACGCGAGATTTACAATTATTTCCATGAAATGAAAGCTAAGCTTATTCGAAATAGTTTAAATATAATATTATTCACATATCAGTGTCAACCATTGTCATTAGACATTGTTAGTTTAAGTCCAAAAAGCATATTCAATCTAAATTTGACAATGTAATGCTCACCCTCCGAAGATATAAAAAGTAAAGGAAGTTAGAATAGAGGAAAATCGAAGACCTGAAAACGTATATCTTGATATCGATACTGTATTTCATGAATTATAATAATAATAATGAAAGGCAAACAGAATATTTTTCGCATATTTATATTTTTTTTTTTTTTTGTTGCCATACCCCAAAATAAAATTGGATATTTTTTTTAAAATGTATTTTTAAACAATTGCATTCTGAAAGAATACTAGTAAATTTATTTGCATATCTTGATCCTGTACAGTAACGTAACATTTTGGAAATCTAACTAAATTTACTAAACGCTGAAAATTTCTTTAAAATAAAATGATTTAGCTGAAGTCACATTTATTTTTATTTGAAATATTTTATATAACTTTTAGATCTAGTTATCCAAATTTTTTAAAACTTATTCTGATTTGCATCACTTTTAAAACTCGATTATTTTAAATATCGAAATTAGAAGAAAAAAAAGCATTGCAGTTTCCGGTTGAACCACGTTGAGGAATTGTAAAATGTATAGCCTAATTTTTTTATTTTTTTTTTTTTTTTGTGATATAATTTCTCACATTTCGTAATTTTAATAGTATTCTTTATTTATT